AAGCAGAAAAAATAGATGTCCTTTTTGTTAACCAACCAACAAAAATATATAGGAAACATACTATAATAGTAATGGCAGACTTCAGTTACCCTGACATCAATTGGAAGATTAATTCTGCACCAAGAGTGAAATCAAATATATTCCTAACCAATCTTGTTGACAACTTTGTTGTCCAAAAGGTAGAGGATGGAACTAGAGTGGCAGCCATACTGGACTTAATCCATACAGAGAAGAATTGATAGCGGAAGTTGAAACCGCAGGAACCTTGCTTGGGTGAGAGTGACCATGTCATACCAGAATTTATTATAATGCAAACACAAGCAATAGAAGATAATGGTACCAGAATCCTAGATTTTAAAAGAGCTGATTTTAACAAGGTCAGAGAGAACTTGGGAAAGATTCCTTGGATGAAAATCCTTAAGGGGAAAACAACTCAAGAAGCTTGGGAAACTCTAAAAAATATGATCATAAAAGTCCAGCCCAGCACAATCCTGCTGAAAAAGAAAAACAAGAAATCCAAGAAGAAATCAGCCTAGCTGCACAAAGATCTCTCTTGACAATGTCAGGGTTCCAGAAAAACCCAACTCCAATTAAAAACTCTGAGACAGGCATTTTCTCAAAGTTTAATAAAAGGAAATAAAAGTAATAATAATATTACACTGGCACATCTGGGAAAACCCGAATCTGAGGGTTCCGGGTTTTCCTTTAGTAATTCAAAAGTCAAAATCCAACCCCTGCACCAGTGGTGGAATTCATTTTTTTTTACTACCAGTTCTGTGGGCATGGCTCAGTGGGCATGGCAGGGGAAGGATACTGTAATACCAATCAGAGGTGGTGTTTGCTGGTTCTCTGAACCATTCAAAAGTTCTACTACTGGTTCTCCAGAACTGGTCAGAACCTGCTGAATACCACCTCTGCCCTGCACCCATCAGTCTATCACATGGACCAATCACCAACCATCCCAACTTGAGACATACCTTCAACTCCTCCTCCTCCAGATACAGGAATAACATGACCTTGACCAAAAAGAATGCTATTATGTCTAACTACCAACATTGTAAAAATCCCCCTCCCACTTTCCCAGGCACAAGAATGTGGCAACGTGGAAGCTTCTGGTTCTAATACCGCTTCCAAAGCTGACAGACAAATTGAAAGACAAATAGGACAAGTACAAAAAATGGAAAAGATACATAACTAAGGTAGAATATCAACATATAGCCAGAATCTGCAAATACGAAGTCAGGAAAGTAAAGGCTCCGAATGAACAAAGATAAAAGTCAAAGATAATAAAAAAAGTTTCTTCCAACATATAAATAACAAGAAATAAATCAAGGAAACAGTCAGTCCACTAAAGAGAGAAGACGGCAAAGAAGTAACAGGCAGCAGAGAGAAAGCAGAACTGCTTAACACATTTTTTCCATCGGTCTTCACACAAAAAGAAACAATAGTCCAATCTACCAAAAACATAACTGGAAAAGACAGACTAGAAATAAAAGTTAAAATAAACAAAAAAATGGTAAGAGAACACCTGTCTGATCTTGATGAATACAAATCACTGGGACCTGGTGGAATCCCAGAGTTCTAAAGGAGCTGACAGAGGTCACCTCAGAACCACTGTACCACATCTTCCAAAAATATTGGAGCACTGGGGAACTACCAGAAGACTGGAAAAAAGCTGATGTGGTTCCCATCTTCAAAAAAAGAGGGGGAGGAACAAACCCAGGAAACTACAAGACCAGTCAGCCTAACATCAATACCCGGGAAGATACTGGAAAAGATAATAAAAACAGATCTGCCAAATTCTAGAAACAAGTACAATAACAATTAGAAGTCAACATGGGTTTTTTTAAAAACAGATAATGCCAAACCAATCTTATTTCATTCTTCAACACACTGTGGACATAATATACTTAGACTTCAGCAAAGCATTCAACAAAGTAGACCACAACCTACTTCTTGGAAAGCTAGAAAAAAGTGGGAGAGATAGCATCACCACTAGATAGATTTGTAACTGGCTGAAAAACTATACACAACAGGTAGTCCTTAATGGGTCTATATTTATATGGAGAAAAGTAAGCAGTGAGTACCACAAGGTTCTTTCTTAGTCCCAGGACTCTTCAATATCTTGCAATCCTAAGCTACATTAACAGAGGGATACAATCAAGATCAAGTGAGGTACTAATGCCACTGTATAAAGCCTTAGTAAGACCACACCTAGAATACGGCATCCAGTTTTGCTCACCATACTATAATAGAGGTGTTGAGACTACATCTATATGGAAGGAAGGAAGCAGTGGGGTACCACAAGGTTCTGTCCTGGGCCCAGTACTCTTCATAAATGGCTTAGATAAGGGGAACTTACCAAATTTGTGGATGATGCAAAACTGACAGGAATAGCCAACACCCTAGATGATAGACTCAGGATAGACTCAAGCAAGAAAAACCAAAAGTAAACATATAGACTGGATGAAACTAGGCTTAATAGCAGTGAGGGGGAACTGGACAATCAGTTAAATATGAACCAACACACTGTGACAGCAGCCAAAAAAGCCAATGCAATCCTAAATTGCATTAACAGAGGGATACAATCAAGATCAAGTGAGGTACTAATACCACTCTGTAAAGCCTTAGTAAGACCATACCAAGAGTACTGCATCCAGTTTTGGTCACCACACTATAAAAAAAAGATGTTGAGACTCTAGAAAAAATGCAGAGTAGAGCAACCAAGATGATTAGGGGACTGGAGGCTAAAACATGCAATTAACGGTTGCAGGAACGGGGCCTGGCTAGTCTAGTGAAGAGAAGGACCAGGGGAGACATGATAGCAGTGTTCCCATGTTTGAGGGGCTGCCATGGAGAGAAGGGGGTCAAGCTGTTTTTCCAAGGCACCTGAAGGCCAGACAAGGAATAATGGATGGAAACTGAACAAAGAGAGATTCAACCTAGAAATAAGGAGAAATTTTCTGACAGTGAGACAAATCAACCAATGGAACAGCTTGTCTTCCGGAGTTATGGGAGCTTCATCACTAGAAGCTTTCAAGAAGAGACTGTCAAAATGGTGGGGTCTGCTTGGGCGGGGCGGGGCTGGACTAGATGACCTACAAGGTTCCTTCCAACTCGGTTAATCTGTATCTGAATTTTAAAAAGTTTCCTGCGAGACATCCAAAGAAGCAACCCAAAGGAGAAATTTCTTGACAATGAGAACAATTAATCATTGGAACAGATTGTTTCCCAGAGTTGTGGGTGCTCCATCACTGGAGATTTTCAATAAAAGATTGGACAACCATTTGTCCATGATGGTATAAAGACTCCTGCTTTAACAGAGAGTTAGACTAGAAGACCTCTAAGGTCCCTTCCAGCCCTATAATTCTAAATTTCTTGATTCCATTTTCTACTTTAAAAAAAATATTTCAACCAAACAAGGACTGGATGGGATGGCTTCTCAAGTAAAATCTTGGAATTAAAGGACCCGGTGCTCCAACTGTGAACTATTTTCCATAAAACAGGGTGTAAGTTCACCCTAGTTCACCTCTGAGATGTGTTGCCTCTGTACTTTAAGCAACTTCCACACTCAATCTCCAGATTCTGCAAGTCCTAAAGATGGGACTTATCAACACCATGATGAAACTGCAATGAACTTTGAAGGCTTGGTAAATGTTATGCTTGCTAAAAGTGGAATGCTTTGTTCTGTAACCATGATGGGTGCATGTTTTAACCAATCTGCTGAAGAAATAAATTTGACTGAAAATTAAAATATTCCCCCTGGGAGCTGACAGGAACAAAATGTTCTAGATCGCAAAGTTTCAGAAAGGCCTCCTCAATTCAATCCCCTCCCTCTGCTCTGTGTCATGAAGGATCAACAAAATGAATTAATAGTCATAATACAGAACTATTGTTTCTTCCTGTTCTTTTTTGAAGTAAACATCATAAAGAAAGGGGAGAAACCAGCAAAAGTCAAAGACAAATAAAAAGAGAGAGAGAGAGAGAGAGAGAAATACAAATGTGGAAACAAAGGATCTAAAAGTACTATTTTTTCCTGCTTTCAAAAAGAAGAAGGCAGATTGTCTCCATGATACAAATCAGATGGTGCCCTTCAAGGATTAAAGGCCACTGACTTGCGTTCCAGGGGAAGAAAGTCTGAAAGCCTTGAATCTCTTTATTTTGAAAGCCATTATAGCTTGGGTAATACAATTGCCACCAAGGAAATACTGTTTTTGCCTAAAGCTATTGAAAATTTGAAATTGAAATTAGCATGTTGGAGAACAGAAAAAATAGCTTTTGCATGGAATTTATTAAAATGTTTTAAGAGGTTTGCACCAGTTTGGTTACCATGATATAAAAGAGAGGTTGAGACTCTGAAAAGAGTGCAGAAAAGAGCAATAAAGAAGATTAGAGGGCTGTAAGTAAAATATATGCAGAATGGTTGTGGGAGCTAGGTAGAGAAGAACTAGGGGTAATACAATAGTAGTCTTCCATTACACGAGGAACCATCACAAAGGGGCTCTCCCCTCTATGGAAGGGGGGTTGACCTATACACCAAAGCACCTGAGGGCAGGACAAGAAATAATGGGTGGCCACTTATCAAGGAGAGAGGCAACCCAGAACTAAAGAGAAGTTTCCTAAGAGTGAGAACAATCAATCAGTGGAATAGCTTGCCTTCAGAAGTTGTGGATGCTCTCTCTTACCTGGGTAAAGGACTGGATAACATTAAAAAATAGAAGATTGTTAGCATTGGAAGGACATGATATACAACTAAGCTGGCATGCCTTTCTATGGTATGGCAGACATGATGCCCACCGATATTTTCAATGACATCAGATTAGACAGGCACTACTTTTGGTATGGAATAAAACCAAACAACAAACATATATAGAAACCCCAGTCTGGCTATCCGCACTCGAAGCTTTAGTCCACCTGAATTTCTTCAGTCGGGGGAAAGTTATCACAAGACATCATAAATGAAGCAGGAGAATTAAAATCAAGACAGCAAGTAAGGAGTAGAATTGGAATAGTGGGATTATCTACAAGTCCAATCAAGATACAGACAAGATATGAAAGAATGGGGATAATATGGGAATAATATGTATGACAAACACACCTCCAAACGATTATACCACATCCATTATTTTTAATAATTTACTTAATAAAATTATGTTTTAAAAAATAGAAGTTGTGGATGCTCCATTACTTGATGTTTTTTTTTAGAAAAGATTGGACGGCCATTTCTCTGAAATGATATCAGGTTTACTGCTTGAGTAGGGGTTTGGACTAGAAGACCTCCAAGGTCCCTTCCAGCTGTGTTATTCTATTATTCTGTGGGAGACTGTTTGGGAGGTGGTAACAACTAGAACAGGAAAACATACTGAAAGACAAGTTCAACCTCCTCTCTTGGCAACTACTATGGTTTCGCCTGGTATTCTGTGGTTCATTAATGTGTAATTTGGAGTGAACTACTATAATTCAGGCTCTTTATTGTGGCATTCAGAATAAGAAAAATAAGAATTAGGGCTGACTATGTATAAAAAGATGAATTAAAATGTGATAATCTGAAAAAGTGAGAGGCAAAGACTTGTGAGAATCAGGGTCATCATTTTGAAATATTCCAGGAATCTCTATGAGAAGCACGGCATTAGATTTCATCTGCAGCTGTTTTAATTCAGAACAGGGAAATAAACCTACTTGTAACAATGTGGATGAGGCAGAAGATTCTTTTGTTGAGTTTCCAAAAGTGGGATTAGGTCTTTCTCCAGTCAAGGATAATTTAGGACAATTCTTTCTTAGCATGATGGAGACAGAAACCAACAAGCCGAAAGGTGTTATAAAAAGTGACAGACATCTGAGACAACACTTTGAGGGAGAGCCACTGAAGGAAGGAGAAACTTGCTAACTCATTCTTTAGGTTGCAGCCCCAAAATAGCAGCAGAGCCATATTGTGGTGAGATGAACATTCTGTCAGCTGTCCATTTGGCGAATCCAGAAAAAGGAACTCCTGGGGACATTATTTTACTAAGAGTACAAACTTTACTGAATAAATCCACATTGTCACAGAAGAAGCAAAACCAGCTCTGGGTTACCTCACAAAAGCATGCATTCCCCCTTTTGCCCATGGGCCACACACAGTCCATTACATCTACCAATCACTTTTGTTCATTTTGTTATGGGAACAACTGCTCAGGGTGCCCTTGAGGGGGGAGCAATGTCTCGTGGGAACTGACAATGCTTGGGTGCCATTCCCCACACTTCTGCATTCCAATCCTCCCTCCATTCTTTTGTCTAGCTGTGAGTGAAGCAGAATATAGATGAAAGTTTGATGTAGTCTTGACACATTCACTTTGTATCAGGGGTGGGCAACTATGGCAACTTTATGACCTGTGGACTTCAACTCCTGGAATTCCTGAATTCCTGACCTCTTGACTTTAACTTCCCAAAATTTTTGTGTTCTGTGACTGGCCTGGGTCACTCCATGTTGCTTACTGGAGGAGAAAATCCTGAGCATAAAGCAGTGGTGGACAACTTTGGCAACTCTATGGCCTGTGGACTTCAACTTCAACATGCTGGCTCAGGAATTCTGAGCATTGAAGTCCACAGGACATAAAGTTGCCACAGTTGTCCATCCCTATTTTATACTCAGGATTTTCTCCACAAATGAGCAACATAGAGTGACTCAAACCAGTCACCAAACCAAAAAATGAAATAAAACTATGCTAAGTGGATTCCTATTGCATTCCTATTCCTATAATCCATATAACAAGAATAAAGTTAATCTAAACTTTCATATTCAAAAAGCTATAGGATCCCTGGGCAGGAACTCATTTTTAAAAAAATGCATAATAATCTTATAATCCATTTAGCTAAACTAAAGCAAATGCAGCAGGAAAGAAACCTGGACAGTTCTATAATTGCCTGCAAATCACAAATCTGTTGTCAACTTTGAAGCGAACCTGGGTGAAGCCATCTTGTGCTGCCTCATAGTTGCCACAAAGCCTGAGAGAGGGAAAGGATGGGGGGAAGTAGATAGCCCAGCTAACAGTCAAAATAAAAAGTTTTCCTGTGGGAACCAAGGTCATCGCAACAGGTGGCAGGTGAAAGAGAAGAGGAGCCTGCCAGCTGTATTCATTGGACAATGTGACTGGTGACACCTGGGGGGGGGGGGGAGTTTTACTTTTTTAATTGGGTGAAAACCTTTAGAGTTACCGATATGATGTAGCCAATAAACAAGTTCTTTGAGGAATCAGAGTTCTGCTTTCAATGGGTGCATTACTTGGAACACCGACATCTGTATTTGCGGCTCGGTCCAGAGAGCAGCAAATAATCTCTGTGGGCAGCTAATTTAAGGCATTCGGTTTAGCATACAGAGGTGAACCCAAGTCTCTCTCGGAAATCAAGCCACTAAAAACAGGATGCTGCAGATTACAGACCTTTTGATCAATATTCTGCCATCCTCCTTCTTCTTCCTCTTTCTTTTCAACAATTGCTTTTAATATTGAAACATCTAATGGTATTAGAGGTAGGGTACTCTAATGCAGAATGATCGCTTGTGCGTCATTGGAGTGGGTAAAGTAGCAAAGTTTATTCATAATATTTGTGTTTTGATAAATGTTGTTTTAACAGCTTTTGACAGTTTTGCCCGTGCATCTTTGCACACATCTTCACGCCTGATAAAACTTCTTCGGGTTTCTAGCTCATGGCTCTAGAGCAGGGGTTGCCAACCTTTTGGACCTCAGGGACCACCAAACTCATAATTTTAAATCCCGTGGACCAGAGACCCTGGAAAAATCCCAAAAAAAGTCTGCAGGAAAATTCCCCACCCCGTTTTCCTACCGACTGATCGTTCTTTATTCGGGATCACAGGATACCGTCTCCAGCTCCATTCTCAGGGGGAGGGAGGGAGGGAGAGAGAGAGAGAGAGAGAGAGAGAGAGACTGACTGACTGACTTTTGGCTTTATGCAAGCAGAAGCAGCAGAAGTCTTTCTTTCTCTCCCCCAAACTCTGACAGAAATGAGTCCTTGTGAGACTTGTTGCACTGGCACAGCCTCTTGGAGCAGGAGGCCTTGCAGGGTCCCAAAGACTCATTCTGGAGGAGTTTGGGGGAGAGAAAGACTTTTGCTGCTTTCCTTGCATGCAGCCAAAAGCAGAAGAAGAAAGAAGCAGAAAGAAGCAGCCCAGTAGCCAGGCGAGGTGCATGGGGTGAGTGGGGCAAGTTTCCCCCCTCCGCCCTTCCCCCCTCTCCTCACTACTTTGTGTTGCAAGCGACTCAAGCCTTGTGTTCCCATGGGCCATATGGGCAGCACAGCCTTGTGTTCCCGTGCAGCCTGGATTAATTGCTTTGGGGGGCGCTTTGGGGGTGACATTTCTCTGCGGACCACCAAAATTTTCTCGTGGACCACCAGTGGTCCCTGGCCCACTGGTTGGTGTCCACTGCTCTAGACAGTCTTAACTCTCAAGAGACGGACCTTTCACTGGAACCTTTAGAAAATATAAGGATTTTTTTTTCTCCTGGAAGACAAAAAAACTTCTCTTGAATCCACTGATCTTTGCCAAATCATTTCATAGGAAATCACGAGCTACAATGAAATGTGTTGAATATAGTGATTCAAATGGTTATGGATCCACCTCTTAAGTGGTATCTTGAGATTAATAGCCATGATGCATGAAAATTGATTCCTCTTCAATTTGGAATAAAGACACTATATATTTTTGACAGAGGGATTGAGATTATACATTTCTAACCCAGAATGGAATAATGTGCTGTAGCCAACCTCCCATGAGAAAACTTGTGGCCAACCTGCTATAGGTCAACTCACCATAGGACAATTCAACAATTCAATGTAATTATTTAAAATAATTTTAAAACTATTTTAATTTTTGTCACATTTCATTTTGTCCCCCTTTTAACATACTCTCTTTAATGGTTCTATTTCACATTTCTTTGATATTACTGTAACTCTTGTCCTGTGGCAAGTTGACCATGGCAAGTGGGCCATGATGAGTAAGTTGGCCACAGTAAGTTGGCTGCAGCAAGTTGTCTTAGATCCCTTCTAACCTGGGTTAACAAAACCTAACTCCTGTATTCATGTGATGCTCAAACAAATATATTTTTATGAATTATGGGATCCTAAGAAAAAGATTGGGTTTATATCACTGGGAATTGTTGTTTTAACCATTCAGTCATGTCCAACTGTTGGTGACTTTATAGGCAAATGCTATCCATTCTATCTTGTCAAGCAAATGTCAACTCATAAAATATTTCTATGGTATTTTTAGAGTTGCCAACAGAAAGGGGAGTAGTACAACAGTTTGCAAAACAAAACTGCATTACATAAATGTTTTCAAAGATAGTAACTAGGTGACTGATGTTTCTGCTGCGCAAAACTCTAACTGGAGAGCATGATTGATGACTCTTGGCTATGGATGTGTCTCACTGGAGAATATGAATTACAATACACCCAGGAGGTGGGGGGAAACCAGGGTTAAGGATGACAATGAATTATGTGCCTCAGAATCGGCTACACCCAAGCAGTGCTGGACAGTTTAACTCAAAATAAATAACTTTTAAGCTTTGGAAGTTTGGCTCAGGACTCATGATTTAAATGGGGGTAACTGCCGGAATCCTGACAGCAAACTTATTTCAATTGTTGGATGTTCAGTTTTGTGTCAGATTTGATGTTATCAAACCAGCATGTTATCAAGCCAATCCTTCTTCTTGATCCAATAACTATTCCTAACATCACTAACTTCTCCAATGAATTTGCACACATGACATGGCCAAAGTAGATTAGATTTAGTCTTATGATTTTAGCTTTAATATCTGGTTATTTACGATTTTATACTTCTCTGTTAGTTACTAGGGCTGTCCATGGTATACACAATAATTTATATCAGCACCATAGTTCAAAGGCATCAATTCTTCTTCGATCAACTATTCTTAGTATCCAACTCTCACTCCCATATGAACCAGTTGCTAAGCACCTGAATTTTGAACATGTGATCATGGGGATGTTGCAAAGGTTGTAACTGAAAAACAGTCATAAGTCACTTGTAACTTTGAACAGTCACTGAATGAACTGCTGTAAATTGAAGACTATCTGTATTCTTCTAGGGTTGCCTGAAGATTCTAAGAACTTGGAAATGTTTGGATGTCACACTTCATCCACAGCAGATGTTTTTAAGCCTGTAGCCTCTGGTGAGGCTAGATAATGTGTTAATGTCTGAGATGGGGTGGAGGTCCATCCACAATAGATCATGTAAAAGTCCAAACCAGAGATCCTCAGACATTGTGAACTGGTAGGCCTGTTGGAATTTTGAGAGCCCTTTATGTATACTGCCTCAAAATGGCTGATTGTCCCTCGCAAATCATAGAACATTCATAAATTAGAATTTCCCTTTTATTACTGCTTATCCTTGTCACTCTCAACTCTATTTTCCAACAAATAATTTTACTGAAGCATTTTTAAAATTATAGTCATGTTGGAAAATGTGTTTGTTTTTTTTACTAAAAGTATATGAAAAGTTCTGCTGCAGTAACAGAGTATATTGTAGGCCAATGACTTGCTTTACATTGTGCCAATTTTGGGAAAAAAATGAATTCCGAAAAATTAAAATCTGTAAGTATCAACTCCAAGGAACACCAGCACTTACAACCATCTTGGCGGTGATCTGAGTTTATCATCATCTCATCAGAGTTGGAAAGGATGTTGCAAGTCTCCCCTCCTCAAATAGAAGGCTATATCACTAGAAATATCCTACCAAAGCTAGAATGGATGGTGGACCTCTTAATCAAGATCCACTTCTTGCTGAAATGAATAGATCCTGACTTGCACTTCTCATCAAAATTACATAAACATTTTCCATATTTTAACAATTCGTTTGCTCTCAAGAGAGGTCAAGACTTATTTGGTCTCAAGAGAGATCAGGACTTATTGGAAGTTTCACAAATGTATGAATATTGGAAAATAACATTTCATCAATTCCAATCAAATGAAAAAGCCTTCATATACCATGAGAAAGTCCTGGTTTGTGGATACAATACTACTGTATCAAGATTAACAGTAGACAATGTTGGACAGAATAGATTAAAACATTTATTTAGAAACCAATCCTACAAATCAGAGTGATCACTTCTAAATTTACAGTAATGATCTGTTCTATGGCATTTGGGGATAGAAATATTACTGATTAAACTAATGGATGAGTCTCCAATAATTTTGACTCCTGCTGGGTTAGAAGTAGCAGAATTAAAATGTTAGTGTTTATTCCTCAGAGATGTACCTACTTGCACATCCCTGCAGGCAAAAAAAAAGTATAAGCAAGAATTGGAAATAAAAAAGAGAATAAAAGAAGAATCCAAGTGATATCTTTCATGATGCATCTCCATAATTTTCCAGTCTTTCATCACATCCATCTTCTGTTTCATAGATTTCCTTTTTCCCTTAAACTTCTTGCCACTTTTTATTTTTAAAGATTTCATCAAGTGCATCCAACCATGACTTTCTCAGCCTTCCCCCTCCTTCTGAGCTTTTCACTCTTCTTTCACATTCAGTCCTGATTTGGGTTGTATTTGGAAGGGTAATTTAAACCAGATCAAGAGGCCTTTTAAATCTTCAGAGCTGAAGGTGTGACTGGAAGGGTCAAGTATAATCCTTCTTAAAGGGCCAGCTGAATTATTCCCCGTTTAATGCCTAACTTTTTGACATTTTGAAGAACTGTCTTTGAAGGGGAGCAGAACAGGAGGAATTTCCAATGATAGACTTCAACTTCCCTTTCGATTATCAACAGGAAAGATTTTTAAAATAAGCGTTGCAATGATATGACACTAGGGATATTGTCTAAGATGTATACAGGTACTTCCAATGACTGTTTGGAAAACATGAGGGATATTTTATCATTCATGGTGGATTTGTGAAAAAGAGAAAAGATACTAGATACAAATACATATGGCAATTGCTGCTCACTTCTTTAGATATCATTCTTTTTTCTTTTTGTCATTTTTCATTTTTATCATTTACCATTTCATATTCTTTCTATTTCTTCTCAGTTTCTGTAGCTTTTTCAATCTTTGCAAAAAGTTATTTTAATAAAAATATGCATTAAAAAAAGCATGAGCTAAGAATCCACAATAAACTAATTATGAAACTATGAGAGTTTTTTTCCCCATAAGGGAACAATAACAAGGATTACCCAGGTTAAATATCTCTCTCCTTTCCCCTCCTACAAATTAAGTGCAAGCCAAGCCTATTTGCTGATGTATGATTCAACCCTCAAGCTTAAATATGTGGTCAAAACACAGCCTGAGTTGGCAGAAACTCCAGGTTTTGGACCCCAATCTATTCAACACCACCCTTCCCCCACACCCAGGTTTCACTAAGTTCACACCTGCATCAGGTCTATGACAACTCACCATTCCCAATCTGCCATGGCCAACTTGCTACAGCCAACTCACTGCAGGACAACTCACCATGGCCAAATCACCTCAGCCAACGGCTGCAGCCAACTCACTGTGGGGCCAATCACC